TGAAGAAATGAATCGTCAATTAATGCAAATACAAAACCGGGATTCCTCAGACCTGTCATGCCAAAAGCAAAAGAAGATAAAGAAAGATCTGTCACTTATTACAAGAGCAAAAGAAAAGCTAAAGCAGAGAATTGAAAGACAAGCTAACCCCCCATGCATGTATGTCCCCATGATAGGTTAGTTAAACTAACTGTATTTTAAAAGAATTGTGTAACTTTAAGGTTTATTCTAGAACTCATTAATAATTCATGAGCTATTAGTCCAATGAGCATCGAACTATTGGGTTACATGATGGGCCTTTATATACAATAAAGCACTGATGTTTTATTAATCAGTTCTATATCAGACATATAGAACTGATGAGTGCGTAGTACGAAACTCGGATTTACAGCAAAATCTTAATGCCTCTTTGATATCATATATATAACTAGCTCTACACTCTATGTGTATTGAGCACTCTTTAATGGGATCAGCCACTTCCTCATATGATTAGTTTCAAAGTTAGTAATTAACATTTGTTATCATGTTGAGATTTGTGTGGTTTGCCAAGATAGGCTTTGGTTACTTTATCAATTAAAGAAGAAGGAAACATGAATACGTTTAAGAATTATAGTTTTGATCTCCTCCAAGTCTTTGTTAAAACAGCTGTTTTAGTGTTGTTATTTTTAAAAGCACGATCTATTATAAGCAACATATTAGACCTATTTTATAAGAAAAGGAAGTGATCAAACTTAAGTAAAATTAGTAAGCAAGCCAGTATAATTAGTCTTTTTAGGGTAGATAGATTTTATACAATTGTTATTAGAGGTGATTTGTTGTTATCAGTTGACAGTTGTTATCCTTTTCAAAAGTAAATTTAATGTTACGATATTGATTGTTAAGATAGTTATAGAAATTCATTGCATCGTTTTCATTATTGCATGAAAACACAAAAAATATCATCGACATACCTATGATAAAACAAGATTGCTAGAAGATCTATAGTTTTCAATCCATAATAATACTTTCATTATAGCCCATAAATAGTTTTGCTAAAACAGGGGCCAAAGGTGAAGCCATGGTGACTCCATCCACTTGCAATAAAAATAACCTTGAAACAAAAAAATGTGTTTGGCAGGTAGTGAAAGAAAAGAGCATTCCTTTTACTGAAACCTTGCTGTTAAAATCATATTGGATAACAACCCTAACCTTAAAATGAACTTGAAAAGTGATAGAAGCTCTTTTCTTTCACTACCTGCCAAACACATTTTTTGTTTGAAGGTTGTTTTTTATGATCAAGTGGATGGAGTCACCTTTAGCCCCTGTTTTAGCGAATCTATTTATGGGTTATAATGAAAGTATATGGATTGAAAAACAATTTATAGATCTTCTAGCATCACCCAAGAGGTCAGTGAGTTATTACCAAGGTGCAAAATATGAAAAATATGTCAACCGTGCATTTGGGAATTTTCTCWAAAAAGGTTTCCACATATCTTCTTTCAGTAGAGAGCAGTCTATTAAATGATTTGCCTAGATCAAGCAGCCCACAGCCATTGTCCCAAGAGCTATCAAATCAAGGTCAGTTATATCAAGGTGTAGTCTCTTTCAATGCAGCTGCAACTTACGGTCTTGGGGAGGAAATTCGAGGTCATTATCAATTTAGGTGCAAAATATTAAAAAATGTCAAATATTATTGGGTAATAATATATTTTCTCAAAAAAATGATTTGTCATCATCCCTGCAAGCAGCTCATAGATGAGCCATCGCCAGAGCTATTATCACATCAAGGACATTCTAAAGATGAAATATAATATGAAAAATATTTCAAACATATTGGGTATATTTTTCAACAGCTGTATACTATCAGAGTTAACAATTTTCATCACCAACATAAAGTAATATAAAAAAGAAATTGGTGAATTACAATATATAATGTTGATCATTGTGATTTCTTTTAATTATCACAGTTTACCCATGGCCTGCAGATCTCCTTCTAAAGTCCATACCACATGACCTGCGTTTTGCAATTGAAATCAGAATATCCAATCCTAAACGACCTGGATGGCGAGAACTTGCACAAGAACTGCTTTTTGATGAAGAAACCATACTATGTATTGACAACCATAATCAACCAGAAAAGGGTTATCTTTTATTTGAAGTTCTGAATACTCAAAAACCCAAGCTGACATTTACTGCATTTGTTGATGTCCTTGCCATGCTGAAAAGGGTTGATGTTGTTGAGAAGTCAAAGGATTACTATCGTGATAATAATGATGTTAATAATGTCACCCTTGAAGACTCTTGATGGTAAAAGAAAATTGGCTGATAGCAAAACGAATAGGGGTCAACTGGCCGGGACAGCTAAATTGATCACCAGATAAACAGAATTATGATTTTTGTAGAAACAAAAAGAATGTACATTTGGCTGGATGGTTTTTGCTGGACATGACCATACATTTCCTTGTATAATTATGGCATGGTCTCAAAGCCCATTTTGTTTCTATATGCTCAAACATCTAAACCCTGATTGATTATTTTTTTTCTGGATACATTGTTAAATCAGATTTCGAAGGTCAGACGCTGCAGTCCCTTTTTTATTTTGTCAAACAGTCAATTGAATGCATTGTTGATTATATGCATGATCTTATGTATACTTGATTGGCAGCTATTATGCAGTGATGCATTGAATATAACTATCATTTTATACTCTCATTTTGTAAAACGTTTTTTTGAGACTGTATAATTATGTCTTTTGTAGTCTTCCACTGATGTTTTAAAAGTAGCACGTACTGCAGCAATTAATCCTAGGCATTGTAGACTTACTTTTTGCAATTGTTGCAACAGACAATGCACATCGTTTCAGATCATTAATAGGGCTTTCTCTTGTTTTACTAAAGATAGAATCTTAAGTGGCAAGGGGTGTTTCAAGTGTGGGTGTCCATGAGTGCCTGTATGGACTATGTACAGTACACTGAATATGATCTGAATATGATGTATTCAAGCAGCCGCCTACGACATCAGTTCCTACCCCTCTCCCCCTAAATTTTGGAGAGGAATTTTTCCTTAGGGGGAGGGRGGAGGGGATAGGGGGAGGGGGTGGGAACAGAAGTACAATAGCTAGTATCAGAGCAGCTGACAAATACAAACTTTATTTATAATGCCGCACATAAGATTGATAATTTTTAATTTTTAGGGGGGCTAATCAATGATTTTATTTGACAATGTGGCATTATCTGACAAAGTGATTTAAAAAATGTTTACCTAGAATAGCGTAAACTGAATGCCTGAGAAGCTGAAACAGTGACGTGTAAGAAGCACATCTTAAAAGATGCTTTAATATTAATACTATATATATACTACCATTATTACCACATTGTCAATCTAATTAGGTCCCTTAATTGACAGCTATGGTGCATGCATGAATTATGTCACTAATACATGATTCTTATTAAGTGTACTTCATTACATAGTACTTTTAAGTCTTTTAAAATAAAGACAATATTTGACCATATGATAAAATTGTATGTGCCTCGACCATCAAATTATTATGTACTGCACATTGAATACGTTAAATCACATAATTGACATATCTTTGATGTAATTATGCTGCTAGAATGTTTGCAGTTTTGTACGTAAAAAAATAGTTTTATGGATGGACAATGTAGAAAATTGTATTAGATTAGTCTATAGGATTAATGTATGAGTTAAAAACGTATTTATGGTAATGTTGGCAAGTCAGTGACAT